GCCCCGCCCCGCCTCACCCCGCCCGTCTGCCCGCAGGTGGAGGACGCACTCTCCTACCTGGACCAGGTGAAGATCCGCTTCGGCAGCGACCCGGCCACGTACAACGGCTTCCTCGAGATCATGAAGGAGTTCAAGAGCCAGAGGTACCGGCCCCGGCCCCGGCCAGAGCCTGGATCCGGCGCAGGCCCGAGCCCGGGGGAGGCTGGAGGCGGCGCGTCCCGGCACCCGCGCTGCGCTGCTCGGCCGGAACCTGCTTTGCCCGCTGCCGTCCTAGCGCGGCCCGGCGCTTGGCCTGGGGCAGCTGCCCGCAGGACCTGGCTGGGCACAGGGTGCCTGGGCAGCTCCAGCTCGCCCTTGCTGTAGGGTGCCTGGTTGCAGGGCTTGCTCCGAGACGGGTGTTTCATCAGGTCTGCTGGCAGCCCCTTTTCCCTGCAAAGTCTCTCTCAGAAGTTTCTTCCTGCCCCCCTACCGGGGCGAGGAGTCCCCCGTCCCGTGCTGCACAGGCTCGTCTGCGGGTTGGCATCCAGGGTCCTGACCCACTCCAGGGAGCTTCTGCTTCTTGAGCTCATGGGCTCTTTCCCCTGGTCCTTCTCTTAGCGGAGGTTGGGCAAGCTTCGCTTCTGGGTCTGTTCAGCTGCCGTCTGTCTGTGTGGGCTGTAGCTCCCTCTGCCCTTGCGACTTGTCCGACAGCTGACACTGACTGTGATAAGAGGCATCTGCTTGATTCGCACCTGGCTTTGCTCTTCCCCTCCTCTGCTGCGTTCTTGACGAGGCCGTGTAAGGAACAGATTGAGGGACCTTCGCTCCCACTGCTCCCTCCAGGGGCCAGACGTTCCAGCCCGGTGTGTGGTCGCGGTCTGGTACCGTTTGGCCCTGGGACCCACAGACCTGCACAAGTACCTATTTCAGGGAAAAGGAATTGTTCTTACTGACACCCATGCACCTGGTTCTGACATACCAAATGCTGAAATTGCGTGATCGCTGTGTAAAGGAGGTCTCTTCACTAAGTACCCAGAGCTCCACTAGCAGTACTTCCACCTGCTGCATTTTAAATCTTGTACAGGAAACCACGAGAAATCTAGGCAATTCACGGATACCTGGAAGAGAGAGTGAGCATTATCTCAGTGCTTAAGTCTTTCAAATCCCTGCGTTGTTAACAAATATATATTTGCAGTCTGATACATCTGTACCTGCGTATGAATTCCTTTGTGGTTGTATTTTGTGACAAAGACCCTGCATGCAGTTAACAGCTTCTTCTTGGTTCTAGCATTGACACCCCTGGCGTAATCAGGCGCGTTTCCCAGCTGTTTCACGAACATCCTGACCTCATTGTAGGATTCAACGCTTTCCTCCCTTTGGGCTACAGAATAGAGATTCCGAAGAATGGGAAGTTAAGTATACAGTCGCCACTGGCTAGTCAGGTATGTTAACGTGCTTAGATTACTTTACGTGAATACAGATGTATGTGCGCATATAGATAAAGTAGCGTGTGGGGTCTGCATAGTAAATGAGCTGATTTGCCTTTACTGCAGTTAGTTAAAGGTTTTCAAATTTTGAGGTTATGGGTTCAGCATAAAAAAAATTTCTTTTCCAGAAATGCTAATTAGTTTGATTGGAATAAAGCTCCCACATACACACTGCAGTCCAAACATTTGAGTCAGATTTGAGATGGTGGCTGGGTGCATATGTATAATCCATTCAGTCTTTGTAATCACACTTTACATTTTAAAGGAATATTTAAAAAGATTTTATTTCCTCCTTCCCATTATGATACAAGATATTTACTGGCATGATACAAATATCCGTGTTCTATTCAGATTCTCACATACTGCACTGAAGGATGTGGTATTAAAACACAAATAGATGCATGCCATTCTCTGCTTCCTTCATCACTGTGCGGTTGTTGAGTTTATAACTGAAAAGTATCTGCTAAATTTCTGTTCATAAGCTTCTGGTTTAAACCTTAATTTCTGCCATCTGCTACTCTTTCAGATCTCTTACGTGCATTGATTGTTTTGTATTACTTAGAAATTTAGCATTTTGACTATTGAGCCTGCATCTTGATAATCTGTCATTCTTCTGGAACAAAGTAGTTTTACTCTAACTATACTGCAGGGTGAATTAAAAAAATCTGTAAAGTGAAGAGGATAGGATAATGTAGTGACAATCACAAGCATTAGTGAATCAGAGTGAAAACAGAAGACCAGAAATAGTGGTGGCTTGTCAGGTTTCTCACAGACCTTTGGTCATTGGATTTTGATTACTCTGTATTCCTTTGTCAAGATCATGGCCAGTGGGTCCAGGTACAGCATTTGAAAATCCCTTGAAAATGAGGCCTGCTCTGGTGGAAGAATTGTTGATGAAAACTGGACCTGAGAAGGTATCCACCCTTTGATAAAAGGACACAGAGCAGAGAATATGAATCTGGTGATGAAGTATGGCATTATTGTGCATCAAATGCCTTGAGATGTTCAGTGACTAACAGGAGACCTGGCTTCATAACTGGATACTGAAATGAAGTCACCATGTGTTGTGGTAATACAAGGTCTTGTTGACACTTGAAACTTGCTGCTGGGTAAAATACTTTTAGAGATTATCTACAAGGCCTACAGGCCCCCTGCTGTGAACCCCTTTTTCAGAGACAGCTCTCATATTTAGTGTATTCTTCCCTGGGAGTCGGTCAGATTCCCCTCTTTCATTCCCCCACTTCTCAAAAGGTCCAGTATCACAAAGACTCTTCTGCTAGAATCCCTCAACCTTGCTTCTTGCATTAGCTACTGGTGGATGCTTGCTCCAGAACCAGTTCATATGGAATTGGTTGGCTTGAGACAAAGGAACTGTGTTGCTCGTGTACCTGGAGGCACTTAAGAAAGGCAGCAGCAGCACTGGCTTGAGCCAAGTTGCTTTTCACACTCAGTTAATAATTGGATGAGCAGTTTTCAAGCACTGCCATAGGCAAGAGATGCAGGGCAGAGTGTGTGGTCAGATTCAATGCATTCGGATTCCGCTGAGCTTGAGGGCTGCGAGCTATAACTTTGTCCTCTGAATCTTATCTGTAAGCTACAAGCATAAAGTTCACCTGTCACTGGCATCATTCAAAAAGGCTGTTTTCCTAAGGAATCTGAACAACTGCATGTAGGATTTCCTCCATACTGGCCCTGTGGTGCAGCTGCACGTCTACAAACCCTTTGACGCTACTTCTCTGGAGTTTGTTAGTGAAAGGTTGCAGAGATGTTCTCAGCACTGAGACTGCTTGACTCTTATTTTATAGGGGCAGTTACAATAAGGAGACATAGTTACGTACCTCACTACATCACAAACTTCAACATTTTCTTTTTATTGCTTCGTTTAGTAAAGTTCACATGCCAGGATGGTCTTCAGCCAAACACTGGTGTGGTCTGGTATCATTGCCTGAGTCTTTGCAAACACAGTAAGAAAATGATAGCAACTTCCTTTTCTCACTGTACAATATCTGTGTTCTGGGCAGGGCGTGCTTACCTTCAAGAATTTCAGAGGATGTAAATTTTGGGTATTTGCCAGTGGTTCTGATGAAGTCTATGAACTCCCTCAGTACGATTAAAATCAAACCTCTTTTGCCTGGAAATATAAATGTTTGAGAAAAGCCTTAAAGTTTTTGGTAGGTTAAGTTATAGCCTTTATTCAGACATCCAAAAGGTAATACTTGGGGATTGTAAATTTGTGTTGAGCAAGTTTTGTAATAATACAAATCGGAATACAAACGGGCAGAGAGGAAACCTCAAAGGTGAAGCTTGATCAGTGTCTTTACACATTACCATCCTTTGCAAGTAATTTATTCAGGAGGTTTTAACGTTGAAGACTTTCAAGCACTGTAAATGTTTGTCTAAAGCTCTATTCTAACATACAAAAGATCCAAATTGGTTGTTATATAAGTAACCCTGAGTTTTTAAATGGAAAGAAAAATCATAATTCAACTGTGCGCCTATTTTTTTTTTTGTTTTTTTTTTGTTTTTTTTTTTAAATTGATGGTCTTAGTAACACAGGTAAGGAAACTCATAGGACAGTTAAATCTTTTTCTGTGCCATAACTTTTCTCTGACTAAATATAGGCAAAATATTTTTATTGAACTTGTAGCTTTGTTTCCTTTCATGAGTCACTAGCTTTCATTGCTTCTGCTGCTAGGTGTCCTCGGAGCCTGTTCCAAGTGCTCTCCCTGGCAGTGGATTATTGCTGCATTACTCTCAGGAGAATTCTCACAACCACAGTGACTGTTCCGAGGAGTACAGGCAACAACTGCTGTACAAAGAAGATAAATCTCAGATCCCTTTGGAATCTGATTCTGTGGAGTTCAACAATGCGATAAGTTATGTGAATAAGATCAAAACCCGTTTTCTTGACCACCCAGAAATCTACAGATCATTTTTAGAAATTCTTCACACTTACCAGGTAAAATCCCTGTGAGCAAGAGATTGTGGTTTACTGTTGTGGCCACTTGAAACCTGTATTCTTAAACATTGTTTGTATATGGAGAACTGTGGTTTACTATAAAAGCTGCCCCAAATTCAGCCTCCCTCAGATGAATGTGAACATGGGGAAACATAAAACAAGCCCAGGCTTTGTGCACATCTCCAGCACAGCTCAGCTCAAGCCCTTGCAGGAACACCTCAGCATCCAGGCACATTCTTTTTCAAATGCTTCAGGCATTGGTTTAGAGAGAGATGTTGGAGAAGCCTCACTGAAGCCCTGCAAGAATGGATTTTTTTTTAACTTTGTGATTTTTTTTTTTTTAAGCTTTTTATCTACTGAGACGAGATTTACAGACACACAGAAGGGGTGTCTAAAGAGTTTGACAACTCTTTCCTGAGCCACTCAGGCTCTAAAGCTTCACCATAGTTTTGTCCCCACTTGCTACTTGCAAGGTGGTCTTAAGCTCAAACTGGGATACCCTATATGGTAGCATACTGTACTGCTACAAGAATCCTGGGCCAAGTGATAACAATCTAAAGGGTTTTTTTCTGTATTTGGCTTTTGAACACAGTGGGTTGGCTGTTCCATTTTCCTTGCTAACCAGAGTGTACTACTTGACTACTGTAGCTTTTAACATCTGTCTGTACATTGGCAGAAAGAACAGCTGAACACTAAGGGCAGGCCATTTCGTGGCATGTCGGAGGAAGAAGTGTTTACTGAAGTAGCAAATCTCTTCAGGGGACAAGAGGATCTACTCTCAGAGTTTGGCCAGTTCCTTCCTGAAGCTAAAAGGTCTTTGGTATGTGTGCTCTTGTGAGGCATAAAAGATAGTTTACTCCAAGTTGTCTTCTACTTGCATCATAATCTGCATAATGTCTAAACAAATAACCAAAGGATTTTGGCCAGACCCTCACAAGGTATTTAGGTTCCTGCCATTCATTGACTTGATCAGAATTAGACATTCAAATACCTTTGAGGATTTGGATCTGTGCAGTTGCCACTAGCATTAAGGTAATGGGATCTGGGCTAGGAGCAATTTAAATTTTGTACAGTGAAAGAACTTGGAGAAGAGCTGAGTGGATGACATGTCTGTACCTCTTTCTCAGAGCAGCTAGCTGACAGTAGAGAGAACCTGCACCTTCTCAGCTGAAAAGCATAGCAAACAGTTTTGTGTAACTTCTTTGAAGTTACTGCTTTTGGGGGCCGTGGTTACAATTTTCTGGAGACCTTTTGGAAGTGGTGTGTGAAGAGATGATTCTCTAGCTTGCTTGATACTGAGACTTATGCAGTGTGGAAAGTAGACACCCCACTCTTGAGAGAGGTCTTGAAGGGCTGTGTGAAAACCAGTTATCTTGGCTTGCAAAAAATATATATACTGCGACCCATCCAGCTTTCAGGTGGAATTATTTTGCAGTGTTAAAACTCTCTTATTTGGGGGACTGCCACTTATTTTCCTGCAACTTCCATTGACAAGAAGGTCTGAACTGACTGCTTTTTCAGCAGCTCTCTCTGTGCGGGGGGGAAAAAGTCAAAGGAATGTTGTTTTTGTTCCTGAACTGCAGCTCCATCAAATCATTGACACTGGGTGAAAACCTCACAGAAAGATGATTTTTGAAATTTGGGAGGAGTGGAGGAAGGCTTGGGCCACAGCACAGCTGTGTTCTAAATCCTGTTGCTCCTGTGAGAGGATATCTCTGTAGGGTGCTGTTCAGATGCTGCTGTAGCATTGGTAGAGAATTTTAATTTAGCCCTGGAGCTGTTTGTAGCTCCAAGAGTACAGAATGTACCTTAATATGATGGGTTGTTGGGTTTTTTTTAATCTAGCTGCTCCAGCAATAAAGAAGCTGCAGCAGGGTTTTGACTTCTACGTGGTCAAAAACCCTGCTGCACAAGAGTTGCTTTCAGATTCAAAACATTATCAAAGGTTCTACGGTTAGTGTTTGAACTATGCTGTAGTTATTATTTGGTTGTACACAAGCCACCCACTTACTCCATATTCTCTATTCTGCCCAAATAAATAGGGTTCTTTATTTTTGTTGAACTAAGAAATACATATTGAAACCATTTATTCTTTCCTTCAGTTCACAGGAAATGGACCATGTGAAATGAACAGTGCCCAGAAAATTGAACATGAAAAGAACCTGGAACACAGTAAGAAGCGATCCAGACCACTGATGCTGCGTCCTGTTTCTGGCCCAGCAAAGGTATCTTATTGTAAATAGGTTAAATATTCAGGTGCTATATCATCCATGTTGCATTTAGGCAATTGCTTTTTAACTTCTAAGTTGTGCTGCATGTGGAAACATTACTCTGACTAACTAATGAAAACTTATTGATTAGCATTCAAGATACTTACAAAAGGAAGTTTAAAGATGTGTTTGGAGTACATTGTCCTTTGATCAAACAAAGTGTTATGCCCATGCCAGGTGTCAAGTAATACAGGAATTTGGAAGCCTTGAGCTGACCGACCCCCTTGAGCAAATTTCTGTCTGCAGGAGTCTGCCTCATGGGGAGCCACTGCTGCTGGAGCTGGGGGCCGGTGTCATTCATATGGAATACCACAGGGGATTTGACATGATAAAGCTCATTTGTCTGTTTTGAGAATAAGGGCACAGAGCTAGCAGTTTGCAGAAGTATTTGCCATTCAGTAAAACTGAGATATTGAAGTAAATATTGGATCTCTTCAACAGAAAAAAATGAAACTGCGAGGTACCAAAGACCTGTCTGTAGCAACAGTGGGAAAATATGGAACGCTACAAGAGTTTTCTTTCTTTGACAAGGTCAGTGATCTGGCCCCTCATGTTGTGTGGCCTTTTCAATTGTACAGAGCAATTGGCTGGTTTGTATGGCTTCCTCCATACCTTCAGGTGGCAGCCCTTTCCAATTCCCTACCTGTCTAGGGCTTCGAAGGGGCAGGCCAGTAAACAGGAGAAGCTCAGGAGACCCCAGAGGAAACTTTAACTTGTATTTTCTAGCATGTGTTCTGCCTACTGAATTTTTGTTTCTAAGCCTATGATCCTCACCCTGTTAATGGTGTAATTTGTTACTAAGTTGTTTTTTAAAAGCTGGCATTTCTGTGCCTCTAGGTATGGTGCTGTAATGGATACACACAGTTATTAGGCTAAACCACTTGGACAGAGCCATCTGGGATGTCAGCATAAAAATAAAGCTAGTTATAGTTCCTTTGCATTCCCTGTCCTAGGTGCGCCGAGTACTCAAGAGTCAAGAAGTCTATGAGAACTTTCTTCGCTGTATTGCACTCTTCAACCAGGAACTAGTGTCAGGCTCAGAGCTTCTCCAGCTAGTCACCCCATTTTTAGGGTAAGTCCTGACTGGCTATTATGATGGAGCGTTCAAACATTTGCTTGCGTTACAGCTTTCTATTGGGCTTTGTGAGCCAATATTTTAAGGTTAATTTAGAGGGGGGAAAAAATCTTGTCCAACTTTTAAATACCATAGAATCTTAATACTATTAAAAGGGAATCTGTTTGTGGCAGGATCTTGTAGGGAAGTGTTTTGCCTTTTCCCATCCAAGAGAAGGGGGAAGTGTTATGGCAATGAACAAGGACTCACTATGCTGCTAAGAAGGAATAGTGATAGGATTCTGAAGGGGGAGATCTTTGCTGTCTGCTGCCAAAAAAGTGATAAAGACTTTTAGGGGAGTTATTAAAGCAGGTTGGATAATTATGGAGGGTTTTTTGACCTGCTACTTTATTTTGTTTTTTGCCCTACCCTCTAAATATGACAGAGGGAGAAGAAGTAATTACTAGTTAGGAGGTGAAGCAGAGAGCATCTCAAACAACTGCACTTACTTGTTTGTATGTGTTTGTTTTTTAAGGAAATTTCCAGAACTCTTTGCACAGTTCAAGTCATTCCTTGGTGTGAAAGAGCTTTCGTTTGCTTCTCCACTGAGTGACCGATCTGGGGATGGAATGAGTCGAGAAATAGATTATGCTTCCTGCAAACGCATAGGTTCAAGTTACCGGGCTCTTCCAAAAACCTATCAACAGCCAAAATGCAGTGGAAGAACAGCCATTTGCAAGGAGGTATTTGGCAGCTTAAGCTTATCAACTGCTTATGCGTGGCTGCAATGGCAGCCAAACCCAGAGTGATATCAGAAATGCTGCCTTCTCGTGAGTGTTTAGGACACGTGCAGAAGGTATACTGCTTCAACTTCTGTATGTGCCTTCATCTGTCTAAAACTGGTTATCAGTTTAGCTTGCACCTGTATATTTACAGCAAGAGCAAATCCAACATTATATTAGTCAGCCTTATGTGCATAAGAAGGTCCATACAGAAGTGAAGTGATTTAACTAAGTCTGCATAAAAGTCACACATGGCATAGTGACAGCAGCTCTTCTCAACTGGAAGAAGGGTTTACAAGAATGAGTGCTCCCAACTCCACCCCTATTGGCACTGGCACCTTTGCCTCCATTACCAGCAGCAAAGGGCATCTCAGAAATATGAAGAACTCCCTGGTGGGGCTTTTCACACATGCTGTTTTGAGAAATGGTCACCCTTGTTAATTTAACACCCCCTTCCCACCCCCACAAGACACACACACTCCATCTAACTAGGTGTCATACTGGTGTTAGAATTGGTACTTTAGCCAGTTCCTACAGTCCTTGTTTCCTGGGATGCTGGCTGATGTCACATTTCACCTTTTTTGCAGGTTTTAAACGATACCTGGGTTTCATTTCCATCCTGGTCTGAGGACTCTACATTTGTCAGCTCAAAAAAGACTCCCTATGAGGAGCAGCTGCATCGTTGTGAGGATGAACGATTTGAGGTGCTTCTGCTCTTCAGTTTTACTATCAAGTCTCATATCCATGATGTCAGTTTTCTATATAAAAGCAAAATTCAAAGTTATTAGGGTTATGGTTGAACGGGTAGCCTATAGCCAAATGCTAAACACTATTAATCTTCTTGCTGTGTTTAGTCCCTCTTCTTTTGTCCTTTGGCTTTGGTGTGGGCTTGTGTTCCCAAAGTCACTCTCTCCTAAGATACCCTTTTTGCTGCTTTGCATGAGAGGTAGTGAACAACTCTTCACTTCTGTAGCCCAGTGGTCTCCAAAGTGGGGTGCGGAGGACGATCCATTGGGGTGCGGGAAGAAAATAGTAGAACTTCTATTTAGATGTATATTTATGTAAATATACATATATTGGGGGTGCGTACTCAAAAATTTTTTACTGATAGGGGTGAGTGATCAAAAAGTTTGGAGACTACTGCTCTAGCCTGCAAGAGGAAAGGCAAATACGCTAATGATGCTCTTGTGTACTGGGGGGAGGAAAGTCTTTGAGGACTTGACCTGTCCTTTACATGCAGACCCCTTGCAAGTACTGCTACTGGTACTTTTACCTGTGTGGTAGCTTAAATGTTGCTTTTGGCCTGGGGAGTATTTCTCAACACTGTCTCCTCCAACCAGAAACGTCGAGTGCACTGTATTGTCCAGGTCTCTCCAGTGCACATGCAGCACAAGGCATCCCTTAAGATATATCTAGCCAATCCTGGAAAGAGAGAACTTTGACAAAGGAAACTATTAGAATGCTCCATAGTTTGATTTGCCTGACATGTTCCCTGCGCAAGCATTGCTTTGGCTGGGGAGACTGCCCTTGTAGTTACGAGTACTAGCAGAGAACTCCTCTAGCAGGAATCCTTACCTGAGCATAGCAGATCTCCACTTCTTCCTGCACAGTCTTTCCTTATGCTGTATCCTGTATTAATTCCCACAGCTAGATGTTGTCCTGGAGACCAATTTGGCCACAATACGTGTGCTAGAGAGCGTGCAGAAAAAGCTCTCTCGGCTGTCTCAAGAGGATCAGGAGAAGTTCCGACTGGATGACTGCTTAGGAGGAACATCAGAAGTGATCCAGCGTAGAGCTATTTACCGTATTTATGGTGACAAAGCCCCAGAGATCATTGAGAGTCTTAAGAAAAACCCGGTTACTGCTGTCCCTGTTGTTCTGAAAAGGTAATTCTTCTCTTCAACTGTGAGCTCTCAGCGACTAACCAGTACAAGCTGTGAGAACTTGTTGGTTCAGAAGTTAGTTGCCTAGGACTGTGCCCTGAGGAAAGGTGAGCAGTTACGTGGAATATTAAACAACAGCATTCCCATCTCGGATATTTAGCTGATTCTTAGCTCCACGTAAGAAGGGCTTATTTCAGCAATTCATAGATTCATACATGTTGGGCTCGGAAGGGACCTCAACAGATCATCGAGTCTGACCCCCTGCCTAGGCAGGAAAGAGTGCAGCTAGATGCCTATCCAGCTTTCTCTTAAAGACCCCCGAGGTGGGGAAAGCACCACCTCCCTTGGAAGCCCATTCCAAATTCTGGTCACCTTTACAAACCATGAAGAAGTTCTTCCTGATATCTAGCCTAAAACTGCTCTTTGTCAGTTTGTGACCATTGTTCCTTGTTACCCTGAGAGGCGCCTTGGGGAACAGAGCATCTCCAATCCCTTGCTGTGTCCCCCTAATGAATTTGTAGGTGGCCACAAGATGGCCTCTCAGCCTTCTCTTGTGGAGCCTGAAAAGGTCCAGGTTCCTCAGTCTCTCCTTATAGGGCTTGGCCTGTAAGCCCCTAACTATACGAGTGGCCTCCTCTGGACCCTCTCAAGTCTATCGACATCCTTCTTGAAGTATGGCGCCCAAAACTGGACACTGTACTCCAGCTGTGGTCTGACCAATGCCACATAGAGGGGAAGTATCACCTCCTTGGATCTAGCTGTCATGCATCTGCTGATGCATGATAAAGCGCGGTTAGCTTTGCTGATGATTTTTTTACACTGACGACTCGTTCATCTTGGAGTCCGCTATGACTCCAAGATCCCTTTCCGCTTCTGTGCTGCTGAGAGGGTCACTTCCCAGCCAGTAGATATGCTGGATATTTTTGTGCCCTAGGTGCAGTGCTCTGGATTTGTCCTTGTTGTACTGCATCCTGTTGTGTACTGCCCACTTCTCTAACCTGTCCAGGTTTGCCTGCAATTGCTCCCGACCCTCTGAAGAGTGCACCTGTGATTATGAGAATGCACTGTTGTTCTTGTGGGAAGAGTGTGTTTCCTTAGAAGTAGAGTTCCTTCCCTTGCCCCAGTTTGGTGATTGCTGTGTGCTTTGAGGATAACTGTATAACTAGATTGCTGTTTGGGCTACCATGGAAGTAAGAGAAGTAAATTCTCTCTAAGTCCATAACTAAACTAAACCAATCTTTCAATTGTAAATGGCTTTTTATGGTCCAGATTTAGCTAGTGTTTCCTTTCAAGTTGCTCTCAAATGTATTTAAACATAAGTTAGACTTCCAAATCTTCCTTTTATAAGAGGCATTGTTTCCAAAAACGCTTAGTTTAATGTAAAACAAGAAATTGGGGCTTCAGATCCCCTCCTGTTAACTCTTAATCTTCTACATTTGGTGTATAAGTTCTACTGCCATTTCTAACCCTTGTAGGTAAAGCAGAGAGCTAAATAAGATCTCCATTGTCCTGAAAATAGTGTTCCAGAAATGTGTGAGCATTATTAAGGTTCTAGACCCTTTCCTGTGGTTTGCCCAAGCTTCTAACATTTGGGGGGGCTTAGACTACTATATTCTCTTGATGTCCGTTTATGAAGCTGTGTATTTCTAGGCATGCTTGGTTATGAGGGTGTTCCTTGTGCCTACCTTGCTCTAAGAATTTTGAAAGTGTTGGTGC